GTGTGTGTGTGTGTGTGTGCGCGCACACTGATACACACCTATAGGGGAGGTCGGGTCTCTTGTTTTGCATAACTGCACTTTAAACATAAAAGTTATTTTTAGGCAGGCGACGTCATACGAGCTGCAAAAATGAGCGAATGTCTGTGTGCAGATTGTATTCTGCTTGGTGTTGTTTGTTCGTGGCCGCTGCACACGCCGCTGCACACGTCGCTCTAAAAACAGGATGTTCCCGTGCTGGTTAACTTTGGCTCTGAGCTGCACTTCAGTGTGAAGCAGCTGTGGACGAGTCGGCGAGCACAGCACCGGCCCTTTGTGTGAGAGGTGAAAGAGTTCAGGTGTGTGAGCTCTGCCTCAGTGGCTCTCTGCTGTTTCCAGGTGTAAGCCTGCTCAGAGAGCCGGTGTGAATAAGGCAGCAGCTCAAAGCAGCTTTTATCTGAACTGTGGGGAAAACGGAGCGTCGGCGGGTCGCTCGAGCTTTCATGTTTGGGCTCTGCCTGAAGGGAAAGCTCTCAGTTTACTGGGCGACTGTGGAGGTGGAGCCTGAACATAATAGGTCAGTCCCAACAGACATGAATGTCTCATCTGCTGCAACCTGATCCTGGTTAGAAAGCAGAGAAAAGGCGAGTGTATCATCATCATCATCATCATCATCATCACCACAGCGACTCACTCTGAGGCTCGCCGCTCACCTTAAAGTGTCTCTAATGAACATCAGAGGGTTTGGATTATAAATCCTGGCAGTGATGGCTGTATGAAAGCACACGCTGGTGTCACGTTAGCTTACCTCTGTATGCGTGCGCGCTCTGTCAGCAGGATGTGGAGTTTAAATCCTGCTCAGGGTCAGACGCGTCGGGTAACCATGACAGCGAGAGGACATCACTGAGTGAAATATGTTTCCAGAAGTTTCTGAGTGATTGAACTCAAACTGCTGTGTTTATCTTCTAAAATCAAGTTTGTCATTAAAAGTTTGGAGCATTTCTCTGTTGTGGACGGCACGCAGCGCTGCAGCTCTGCAGAGCTGCAGCTCTGCAGAGCTGCAGCTCTGCAGCGCTGCAGCTCTGCAGCGCCTCCACACCGGTTGTTCTGTGCGAGCATGCAAACGACGCACGCTAACAAACCTGTTTGTGTACTTTGGATTAACTGCAGCGTGCGCGCTCCGTCCTGTTGCATGCTGAGCCTTAGCGTCGGGTTTCACTCACGCTGTCGTTTAACCAAAGAGCCGCGAGGTTCCAGTCTGACCTGTGAGCGCCGCTGCGGCCTCTGTTAAACGGCGCCGTTTTAACCTCTGACGCCGCCTCTTTGTCTCTTTCAGTCTCTCTCAGTCCGAGCTCGGCCACGTTAAAGGCCAACACCATCCTGAGCACCAAACCCCCCATCCAGCCCCGACCCGTGTGCGTCGCCACCCTCCCCGTCCCCCAGACCGCCACGCCAGCCAAGGCGCTCATACTGCAGGGCCTCCCCGCCATGGACCAGACCAGACCTGGTAACAACATCCTGTTTCTTCCTTTACTAATGCTTCTGTTTATTTCCTTTCCCATCACAGTTTCTTTTATACATATCTACTTTTATGTTTCACATCTAAATAATTTCATTTATTATTATAAGTTAATATATTAATTTATTTCTGCCTTTGCTTTTCGTGGCGTTTCACTTTGTGCAGCTGATTTAATAACGTAGTCGGGAAATGAGGGATGCTGGAGTCCGACCTTTAACCTTCCTAAACAGTCATGTGTTCAGTTCTCGTGTGTCGAGGATGCTCTGAGCGGATTCGTCTTCATCTTCTCCTCTTCCTCCTCCAGTCGTCATCTCTCCGTCCGTCTGCCTCGGCTCCACGCCGGCCATCGTCAAAATGGAGCCCGTCTCTCCCAGCATCCCCCAGCACTGCTCCAGCCCCACGGCCCCGCCCACCAGCAAACCCATCGTCCCGGCGACCACGACTTTGCCCGGCAACAGCTCGAACGACATCGATGTGAGTACAGCACTGACGTTACAGCCAGTACCCAGAATTCCTCTCTGAGCCTGTGAACGGATTACATCACACAACTTTCACACGGCTCCTCCTCTTCTTCCTGTCCTCTCTTTTTAACTTCCTCCTTCCTGTTTCCCTCACTGACCACCTCCTCCTCCTCAGATGAAAGTGCTGAAGCGGCAGCAGAGGATGATAAAGAACCGCGAGTCGGCCTGCCAGTCGAGGAAGAAGAAGAAGGAGTACCTGCAGAACCTGGAGGCTCAGCTGAGGGAGGCCCAGCAGGAGAACGAACGGCTCCGCAAGGAGAACCAGGCACTGAGGGAGAGACTGGCAGGGAAGGAGGTGAGACTCCAAGAAACATCACAACACACGAGTGAAAGGTTTGATGGAGGATCAGGATTAGAAACCGCGCGTGAACCGTTCTGCCTGCTGTTAAACTGTAAACGCCGGGAGCAGCAGGACAGCAGCGGACACACCGGTTGGTGGAGTCCTGCGAGCTGGACGTTCTGGTTGTTCGTGTTTTCCCTCTCAGCTCTTCAGCTTCACGCCATTCCTCAGCCTTGTGATAAGGATCTGATGCGTGACAGCAGCATCAGAGCGCCAAGCGTGGCGTTCAGCGTAATGTCGCTCAACCTGCTGCTGAGTGAGGAACGTTCTGTGAGACGCAGCGTCTCTGCGTAACGACACTGAATGATCTGCTGAGGGAGCCAAAACCACCAACAGGAAGTAACTGAGACAAAAGAACTTGAGACGTTCAGGGTCATTCTCTCATCGTGTTCGTGTCATTTCAGGGCGCCGAATCAGCGAGTAACAAGAGAGCCGTGTGCGTCATGGTCATCCTCCTCTTCATGACCTTCAGCTTCGGACCCGTCAGGTATCGTTTGCGACTCGTCGGGAAAATATTTGCCGCCGCAGATGTCGGCGCCGCTTTTCATCAGCACATTCTGTTGTGCATCACAGCATCACAGACAGGAAGCTGGCGACAGGTCTGCACGAAGACGTGGTGTCGTTTACAGGACGGCGGCTGCTGGAGATCGAACAGCACCAGCAGGCGCCGCCGCCACTTACCAACAAAGTGGAGGACAAGACGGAGACGGAGGAGGACGGAGGAGACGAGCGATGGAAGAGAGCGGAGGCGAAATACGCCGCAGAGCCGTATCAGTTCAGGTGAGAGGAAGCTGATGTCGGCGTTTTGTGACATCACTGCGACTGTCGGCGGAGCTTTATCACACAGAGAGGTCAGGGGTCAAACACCCAGCCGCCCGCCACAGCAGCACACACACCCACTGATACACCAGTGGGTGTGTGTGAAAGTGTCCACGCTGTCACAGTTATCAGCTGACAGACACGTTTAACAGAAGCTCGCCTGCATCAGACCGTTTCTCCACACTGAAACAAACGTGTGTGTGTGTGCGTGTGCGTGTGTGTGCAGAAACCTGAGCGACGTGTTCAGTGATGTGAAGGACCTGGTTCTGCAGGACATCGACCGTTACTTCACCTCCTCAGACTGCCGGCAGTTCAACCGCTCCGAGTCTCTCAGGTGAGTCTGTGTTAGGATCTCCACGCTCGTGCTGTGGCTCGCGCTGATGTGAGGAGCTGCAGCTGTATTTAAACCTTCCTGCTTCTGTTTCTTTGCTTCTTCTGAATCTTGCAGGCTGGCGGA